TATACACTGTGCTCACAATACTGTACAGATTATTATGATCCTATAACAGGCCAGCAGACATTAGTATGTTTAGGGTAGATTTATATACTATTAAATGTATAAAAACTTTACTTGAGTATATTTCTATACTAAAAGCATAGGCTATACTCAGGTAAATTTTTAATACATATTTTTCACCTAGGTTATAACAAACAGAACATTAAAGATTTGAGTATTTAAACAACCAATTTTGTTTTTCAATTACAAGTTCTATTTAGGGCATGACATGACTAAGTTACCTATATAACACTATTTGATGCCATTGGTAGTATACGACGATCAATATTCTTGCTTCGGCATCCCATGTTGAACTCCATCATATCGCCGGGATGCTAATCATTTGATCTGAAGTGAACGCTACACACGACCGCGTTTTCCGAGCCGATGCAGAAGAGAAATCCCGTTTCTTCACCTGCTCAAACCGCACCAGGAACGAAAGATAGGCTATATAGCACCGTAGGGCTGGGCGATATGGCCAAAAAATCATATCTCGATATTTTTTGGTCAAATGGCGATATACGATATATATCTCGGTACTTTCTACGTTTTCTATTTAGATAAAGAAAATCTTTATATTAAATATATATATATATATATATATATATATATATATATACAGTATATTCACATTCGGCCCAATGATATCCTACAAACAATGTTGATATTGAAGGATATGAAAACAAATATAATATAGGCTATGCAATATATTATGTGCAAAAAGCTTTTGTTTTTATATTGACTAAAAGCTAAACTAAAAATGAAAATGAAAACAAAAACAAAAGCACAAACTAATTATATTAGCCTGCATTTGATTACCCCATTATAATCACTTTCATTAAAAATATATACTTGTAGGTTTAAAATTCCACATATGGCACATTTATTTTCTCCAACAACAAATATTTTAGCAATATGTTTATTTTAGTCAGAATTATTGCGTACTACGTAGTACTATTCACGCGCATGCGCGCGCCGGCGCTCGTTCAAGGAAGCATGAATTTTAGCGGAGATTCACTTGCAGAAGCTCGTCCTCTTCTGACATGGACATATTTGTTGTGAAATGGACATATTTGCTTTACTTTCTAACATTTACAGATGGAGAATATGTGAAATGTAAGTTGAGCACTGAGGAAAGCACCACATCTCAAACGCATTAAACAGCGCAAGTATATCTGTCAGTCAGCAACAGTGTCTGTCAGAGCATTTGACAGGGCGGCAAGCTGCCTTAAACTTGTTAACTATATCAAAGTGATTTTGACGCAATTAATATAAGCTTGTGTCATGTTTAGGACAAATTGTACTACGTAGCCTAGCTACTTTCACTGCAGCAGCTCACACTGCAACCTCCGCTATTTTTCAGATGTGCTCATATCAAACTACTGTATCGATATAAACGGTATTGCCTCATTCCATATCGTTTCAAAAAATATAACGATACATCGTACATATTCGATATATCGCCCAGCCCTATAGCACCGTCCCTTTTATTGTAATGGAAACTTGTGGACTCGATCTTGAAGTCCTGACAGGCTGGAGTTTTTGCAATCTCCACAAACACAATATTTCACCATGACGATGATAAATTAAAATGCAAAAACTAACGATAGCACACTGACTGACGAGCGCTCTCACTGAACACCAGCCTGCTCTCTACTGAGCCGGGGCTGAGGCTCCCTGATATGACGTCAAATGACGCGATGTTGAAAAAAAAGCCCTTTTTACTAGCAGTCCAAGAAACACTCACTTTATCTTCTAAATTAGTGCCCTTATGTTGTTTTAAAACATTTTAAATCCTGCATTAACTTTTCATATGGTATTTTCATACAAGGTTATCTATAAATTTCGATTTTTTTTTTACCTGCAATATGCTCTTTAAGGTACAAAAAAACTGCATAGTGCTGCTTTAATTCAACCATTTTTAATTTTTTTAATGTATGTTTTTGTATCTATAGTTTTTCTTCCAGTGCAAAATCAGTCACCAAGCACAACAAAAGCATCAACCGTATGTAAGTTCATCCAAAATTAATTAATTTTTATTTTTGTGGTGATTATTTTGATGATTGACCTTGTTAATTGTTTTCTGCAGATTCAACATTTTCTACTAGTGATTCAACACCAACATTCTCTACAAGTGAAACAACAAGTATGGACTAAATGAGACTCAAAACGAGGCTAACATGTTTACTCTTTGAATTTTCATTGGTTTATAATACAGATATCTTATTAGAGTAATAGATGCTTGAGGCATGAGCATGCACATTCCTTAATGTAGCTCTTTATGAATGAAGTTAGATGAAGTTTCTGTACAAACAATTGCTTCAGGCAGGTTAGAGGACCCAACGAGTGAATGCATAGAAAAACAATGTAGGAACTAGATTTTCTTTAAAATATACGTATAAACACGCTACAGAAGCTTCTGAAGTCGTTTTTGTGAGAAAATTTTACTTCCGCGTCTGAAAATGGGCGTGGCGGGCGTGACGCAATGAGCGGGAGAGCCGTCGATTCACACAACAGGAAAACAATGGATCGCATGACATTTCGGACGCTGAGGAAATACACGTATGACGGATCAAGCCATAAAGTTATGAGCCTGCTATGCTAAAGAGATCAGGGACAGGCCAGGATAATGTCAGACAGAACGGTCAGAGAAAAATTGAGCTGTGATGTGAGGAGAACCAGTGGAGAACAGGACAGGTGTCTTGGTGAGAGACGTCCTTATAGTATACACGTTCGCTAACAATATACACTGTGCTCACAATACTGTACAGATTATTATGATCCTATAACAGGCCAGCAGACATTAGTATGTTTAGGGTAGATTTATATACTATTAAATGTATAAAAACTTTACTTGAGTATATTTCTATACTAAAAGCATAGGCTATACTCAGGTAAATTTTTAATACATATTTTTCACCTAGGTTATAACAAACAGAACATTAAAGATTTGAGTATTTAAACAACCAATTTTGTTTTTCAATTACAAGTTCTATTTAGGGCATGACATGACTAAGTTACCTATATAACACTATTTGATGCCATTGGTAGTATACGACGATCAATATTCTTGCTTCGGCATCCCATGTTGAACTCCATCATATCGCCGGGATGCTAATCATTTGATCTGAAGTGAACGCTACACACGACCGCGTTTTCCGAGCCGATGCAGAAGAGAAATCCCGTTTCTTCACCTGCTCAAACCGCACCAGGAACGAAAGATAGGCTATATAGCACCGTCCCTTTTATTGTAATGGAAACTTGTGGACTCGATCTTGAAGTCCTGACAGGCTGGAGTTTTTGCAACCTCCACAAACACAATAATTTACCATGACGTTGATAAATTAAAATGCAAAAACTAACGACAGCACACTGACTGACGAGCGCTCTCACTGAACACCAGCCTGCTCTCTACTGAGCCGGGGCTGAGGCTCCCTGATATGACGTCAAATGACGCGATGTTGAAAAAAAAGCCCCTTTTATTAGCAGTCCAAGAAACGCTCACTTTATCTTCTAAATTAGTGCCCTTATGTTGTTTTAAAACATTTTAAATCCTGCATTAACTTTTCATATGGTATTTTCATACAAGGTTATCTATAAATTTCGATTTTTTTTTACCTGCAATATGCTCTTTAAGGTACAAAAAAACTGCATAGTGCTGCTTTAATTCAACCATTTTTAATTTTTTTAATGTATGTTTTTGTCTCTATAGTTTTTCTTCCAGTGCAAAATCAGTCACCAAGCACAACAAAAGCATCAACCGTATGTAAGTTCATCCAAAATTAATTAATTTTTATTTTTGTGGTGATTATTTTGATGATTGACCTTGTTAATTGTTTTCTGCAGATTCAACATTTTCAAAACGAGGCTAACTCAAAACGAGGCTAACATGTTTACTCTTTGAATTTTCATTGGTTTATAATACAGATATCTTATTAGAGTAATAGATGCTTGAGGCATGAGCATGCGCATTCCTTTATGTAGCTCTTTATGAATGAAGTTAGATGAAGTTTCTGTACAAACAATTGCTTCAGGCAGGCGGCATAGACGTGAAGCTTTTGAAATCGCGTCTACAGCCGATGCACATGGCACCCCTTAGCGTCAATATGAAATGCAGATATATGCGCCTCCTAGTGGTCTAACCTTAACACTACTCCAGACCTAAACCTACCCATAACCGAAGCGTGTTATATTGACGCGAAAGGGTGCCATGTACAACGGATTTAGACGCAATTTCAAAAGCATCACCTACATGACGCCCTGGAATGAGGATGCGTTGAATATAGGCTAGATGCTGCTAAATCTGGAGAACGAATAGCCTACTTAATAAAGGCTGTATAGGACTATATCAAGTGAACTGAAGACAAATTTATTTGTATAGTGGTCATTTCAAATTGTTTCAAAGCAGCTTTACAAAAAGTTGTATTGTATGAGCTTTAATATTGAGCAGTTTTAGGGCTGGGTCTGGGTGATATCACAAAATATGTTGCTGATGTAAATGATACACTGTTCGGGATTTAGGTTTATTGTATTTATTAATTTAATCAGCAGATAATTCAGTGGCACTTTTAGTGTACAATGAGCATGACTGCGTGAAATTACTGGCATTGCAAAAGAGAGATATTTTCTAAACTGATAGAAGACAATGTATTTCTACATGTCATGCAGGGCTCCGTAATTTTACATCATTCATTTAGGCTTTATTTTTCCGTTAGAACCAGTGGATAAACATAAACTTGGGATTTTACACAATTGATGATCCTGTATTTCAGTAAGACATCAGATAAATCCGAAAGTGTGTTTGATTTCACTGACCCTGGCCATTGGGTTTTGTGCATACAAAATATTTTTATAGCCTTTTATACAGGCTATAAAAAGAACCTTGCTGTGCTGAAAAGTAAAAAAACTAAAACTGTTACAACACCAGACAATCAGAAAGACATTGTTAATAAGAGAATATTAAATCTGTGTTAAATGTTAAATAAGAAGAATCATTTTCCTGACAGTGAGATCATCTAGAAACACTGATGTCTGTAATCATGATGCAGTAGATCACATTTTTTATTGTAATATGATTTGATCTGAGATCTTTTCTGTTGCAGCTGTTCCTCATACTGATCACATTCACTCTGAAGGTTGTTCATTCACTCACAACATAAAACCAAACTGATCATCTAAATATCTGTAAAAAACTAAAACAGTGAAATTTCCTCCTTTCATGATCATATGATATGGCATGTTAATTTTAAATTAATTTAATAAAAGATAATAAATCTGATATGGATATAAACATGGATTGAAGTTTTATTCTTTCCTTTGGCAGTCTCATGGCTTTTAGTAGTGCTGGTTTTCACTGGTATTGGTTTATTTCTGTCTGGACTCATGGGATTCATCTGTCTGTGCCCCTTTGACAGTAAGTTCACATATGCATAAGCTGAGCTCCATGATATAGAAACATATAATAAAGTGTGTGTCTGTGCAGGTTCTGATGACGCTCTCACAGAGGTGATCTACAGCTCCTGCCATGTGGAAACAACATCTCTGTTATGCTCCTCAAAACATGGATGAACCGTTTCATTTCTTTACTTGTTGCACCTCTAAAGAGAAAAATGATTTGTGCAGAGAATGATAGCAGCCTTTATGTGCACTATGTAGCTACTTAATTCATACTGATCAGCAAGCCAGGGCAGAATCTGTGGAGCTTTTTCACACATTTTGATTTTAAGAAAAAATGATTTTATTGCTAAAATGTACAGTATGTTAAATGTTGCTGAAGGCATCTTCAAGTCATCTAGACTTCAGTGATGCAGATCCAGTGTCATTCAAGATTTGAAGCATCAAAAACAGAAAAGTTGTAACACTTTTTTAATCAACTATTGATTATAACATGCTACGGTTGAAATGCAACTTTACTGTTAGCAGTCAATTTAGCAAAATTGGCATATAGTGCTCTACTTGTCAGGTTTGTATAGTCACTGTAACAAAATATTGTAATTTTACCTTTAAAAGACTATAAAAATTTAATTATTTCATTATTTAGTTCCACGATTGCCCAAATCAACCGCATGACAACGATCACATTTGTTTCGTGTTTATTCGAATACCCTTGGTCACTAATGCTCACAAATAATAAAACATTTTTTTTACAGTAAAAGCTCTTTTCATGTTTTCGGCTTATTGTGTCATATTTATCTAAATAAAAGAGATTAAAAAAAATGTAGACCCTACTACAATGGTATTTTAATAGTACATTACATAGTTTTTCCTCAAACCCCCCAGAACACTTGGAATATGACACGTGTCACGTGGGATTATTCTGTGATAATTCAAGTCTTTATTTAAAAGCTTTCTGGTCTCTATTCACTGCCATTATACGAACGAGCGCAAGCTGGACATTTGAAAAATAATTCTCGTTTTGTGGTTCATAAAAGAAAGGGGGAACCATAAAAGGTGAACTATCTGTAACAAATGGACATAATCAAAATGATCTACACATCTTAAAACCTCCCTTTTACAACCTTTCCTCTTTTGTTCATCACGCTCTCATAAACACCGAAATCTCCTAAACCTTATGTTACAGTAACTTCAAATGCTCCAAAAGATGATGTATCACAACTTTAATGTCTACAAATCTCCATCTTTCTTGGTATCAAAAGAAACCTTTTTACATTTCATAATTAATGGTGTATGGTATGCTATGATATTTTTACCATACCTTTGAGTAAAACTTCATAAATTCTCCATGTCACCATAAATTGGGATAAGATGCAGGATAGGGCCTGTTGTGGCAAATACACAATTCTGAACAAGAGACAAATCGACTAATTGTCTTTGTTGAGGTTTATTTTCTTGCAAGAAAAGCTCACAGTCATACAGCCACACAGAGTGTGACGGTGAGGGGACGGCATCCTTCCTCTGTTTTAGCCTCAACTCTCACAACGTTATCTCTCTAGGTCAATGATGGCACTTTCCACCATATATGGAGCATTCTTAGACTTGTTCATTATATTATATCCTTCGGTGGAAGCCCTGCTGTCACCAACACCCTTTTACCATTCAATTACAATTCCATATTAGAATAAGGATTATGTGTGCTCTTTTACTATCATCTGATCCTCACACACATCTTAAAGATAACATTTCTTCCACAGGCCTTAAGAGTTCCCTGATCAGTTCAGATCTCTTTTGTGACATCACATTTCCTGTCTCCTTCCAGCAACTTTATCTTCAAGTTAACTTAAAATGGACCACCCCGAAGAACCCAAACAAACACTTCAGCGCACTCCTGGCAAGATCATCAAGAATCTAAGAGAATTCGAAACCAAAGTCAAAGCATGCATCAGTTTGCAGCATTTAAATGCATTTAAGTTAATGTGCCCCTTTTAAGCTGACCCTGGCCTGATTCTTTAAGTTTGTCGTACGTGTGGTTAACCGATTGTAATCTTGCCACTCCCTTCTCTTCTCTCTTTCTTTACCTTTTTATTCTCTATATAAACTTTGCTTAGTTTATTTGTGTGTAGCCTACCCATAGATTAAAATGAAACCAATATATCCATGTTTTATTGCCTCTGCCACTCACAAAATCAAAGTCACTTAAACATATTGATCCAGCTATGCTATACCCTGCTTTACTTTATACATTAAGAAAATGTAATTCTTTCTTGGCCAGGACGATCATTTATTTCCTAGAACTGATTATGCTGTCTGTTCATTGAACAAACTATTAAAAAAATGTACTTGTTATGCTACAGTCAAAACTAAAACTAATCCAAATATTTATAATTGGTTATAATTAATTATACATATTTCCATTTTGAGCTAATTTGCTACATATCCCTTTAAACTTATCATCACTTCAGGAGGATCTTATCTTTTTTCATTTCATATATATATATTACTCTTTCAATTAATTTAGATTCAAAGTGATGTCAGATATTGTTTTGTCTATAACATGCAAGAACATTTTAACTTCGTCACTGCTGTACATTACAATAAGGACAATACGATCTGTGCACTATATGTTTTCTATTTAGGGGTTTACAAAAATGCTTAATTCTATTATATATAATATGCAGCATTAATATGAGGTTTTATTAGTCAGAGAATAGATAGAATTAGATAACATTATAACTCACCATGGTTGTCAATTCTTATGCACACATATGATACAAGTTACATTGCACATGGTTATATAGGTTAAGTTTTTTTTATCTATATGTTCATCTACTTCTAACTGCTCAGTGCAATAAATTTCCTGTGGTCTGATGTGTTACGTCCAGTCTCGTCTCGCATCTCACTCTCGCTGTAATGGAGTTGTTCATTTTCATTTCTTTTCAGCTTCTAATGGAGGTTCAGTCTTACAGTAAGTGATTTATGCTGTTTAATGTCTTTTAAAATAAGTTCACATTTAGAGTGAACAAGGTTTTAATATTTAAATATTTCAGCATGTGTGGTGTGTGTGATGTTTTAATATGAACATACAAACATGTGAACAGCAACATACCTGATATATTTGTTTTACTAGAGTATTACTGTATACATCAGCAATAATCAGCAGCTGTCCTTTTTATTTTTGATCTTAAAATATGTGATTAATTTCAGAATATTATTGTCAATATTAATTAACATTGTCAATGAGATTTGTCTGTTTTTGTTGTTTCAGGATCTCCTGCTGTAAAAGTATCTCCAGATGTGCTAAGAGAGTCCAGATCAGTGAAGTTGACCTGTGAGACGCCAGCAGATGTTACAGTGAAACAGTGTCATTTCTACAGAAACAGTGAACAGAAGAATATAAAAGTCATTCCATCATGTGAACTGGAGCTCACTGGTGTTGAAGTGCTCAGATGGGCAGATGTAAAATCACCAGCATCTGTTGACATTTACTGCTTCTACACAATAACTGAGAACAGGATTGATAAACCATCACCTCATTCTCCTGCGGCCACAGTGACGGTTCTAGGTGAGAGATTTCACTGCTGTTTTTTTTATTTTATTTTTTTTATTATTAATTATTAATTATTTGACTTAAACAGGTTCACTTCAGAAACCCTTCATCAGTGTTAGTGACGATGATGTCCAGATCAACATAGCCTGTGAAATACCACTGTCAGTCAGAGCTGATTTCACCTGTAGCCTCTACACTGGGAATGTTCTTCTGCACAGACACATCTCTCAGATTAAGAAGAGTCAGTCTGGAGAGAATCAATGTATGTTTTATTTAACTCACAGTGAACTCTTCACACGATCAGAGAACAGCAGAAATCTGAGCTGTGATTATTACATCATCAACACTGAAACTGAGATCAGATCACCGCGCAGCGACACACGCACCATCAGAGGTGAGGACTTCATACATTATATATTTATATTACATTAGTAAATAAATTAGTAAACAAAAATTTTTAATATTGTCACTGTATTTGTAAAATACAGAGGTAAAACACGTCCAAATGTGGTTAACATTAGACAATGATAAAACTATAAATACATTTTTAGATTTAATATATTAATAAATACATTTTTAAATTGCAATATTCAGGCCTGTAAAATTTAAAGCAGATGAGTAAAACATTTTTTTTTAATCAACTGGATATTTTTCTATGAGAGAGAATGTAGAGTGAAATTTACTTTCAAAGTCAAATGTAAAAGTCATTCATAAATCTGTCCAAATATTTATGTAATTATCCAATAATATAAAAATCATGAATGACTGGGAAAAACATGGAAAAGTCATGGAAATTGACTAGTCAAACATTTGTGAATCCTGAAAATACCAATGAGACTGTTTGGATCAATGAGGTTTCTCTGCCCAGATATTTTTAAAAACAGAAACCATGCAATCAAAATGTCCCATTGCTTTTTGGTCATTTCTCAGTCTTTTTCTTTTTTATTCATTAGATCTCCCCCAGGCCAAGTTAACAGCGCCTGCTTCAGTTATTGAGGAAACAGACACAGTTCAGCTGAGCTGTGAGAATACTGAAGATCTGAAGATGAAGATGTGTGTCTTTAACATCAATGGAAGAGAAAGTAACTCAAAACAGAGTTCATCATGTCAGCTCTCACTCACTGGATCTCAGATCAGTATTTGGTCAGAAGGTCAGAGTTCATCTGTGAGAATAACCTGCTTCTACACTGTGAAGAAGTTACAAGTTCTCGTGCCATCTCCTCACTCCGATCCAGTGACAATATCAATCCAGAGTAAGATTTTTAAATGCATATTTGAAATAACTGATTTATATAAAACAGTAAAACGTAATCACTTTTCTTAAAATCAAATTAATTACTTTACGTCTACTTTCTTTTGTCCAATGTGTGATAGTCTCTACTGGCCAAACTTTGACAACTGCCACAAATACAAGTGAGTACTGTAACCTTATGTCTCAATACACTTGTAGAGGAGTCACATAGAGGATTTCTGATATTGTTATAATGCTAGGCCTATATTTCAAGTATAAAAAATGAAAACCAAAAAAGGAACACAATAGTGCACAAATAATAAATAAATAGTTCACTATTTACTCACCTAAAGGATTATTAGGAACACCATACTAATACTGTGTTTGACACCCTTTCGCCTTCAGAACTGCCTTAATTCTATGTGGCCTTGATACAACAAGGTGCTGAAAGCATTCTTTAGAAATGTTGGTCCATATAGGATAGCATCTTGCAGTTGATGGAAATTTGTGGGATGCACATCCAGGACACGAAGCTCCCGTTCCACCACATCCCAAAGATGCTCTATTGGGTTGAGATCTGGTGACTGTGGAGGCCATTTTAGTACAGTCAACTCATTGTCATGTTCAAGAAACCAATTTGAAATGATTCGAGCTTTGTGACATGGTGCATTATCCTGCTGGAAGTAGCCATCAGAGGATGGGTACATGGTGGCCATAAAGGGATGGACATGGTCAGAAACAATGCTCAGGTAGCTGTGGAATTTAATGCCCAATTGGCACTAAGGGGACTAAAGTGTGTGTGACGATCAGCAGCCGTGGTGCCCTCGAGAGCCACTAGAGGGCACTCTCTCCCCATGTTATGTTTCCCCATGGACTCTTTGTGTTTCATTATGTTCAGCTGTGTTTCATTATTGGTTATTGAGTCCCTTATTATTGGTTACTGTGTCCCTTGCGAAGTCTTGTTACCCTGTAAGCGTACATCTCTGAGCATTTTCTCCGTTTGTGTATTCCGTGTTTCCCTGGACTCTCGACCTTAGCCTGTTTCCTGGACTATTTGTGAACCTGTGCTGCCTGCCTCGACCATTGCCTGTTTAGACCACGAGTTTCTGGATAGCCCCTTGCTTTGTTTGTGTGCCTGCTTGATTTCAGTTTATGTTCAAGTACAATAAAGTGCTGCACATGGATCCGACCGTCTCTGTCCGTCGTTACAGTGTGCCTAGAAAACATCCCCCACACCATTACACCACCAGCCTGCACAGTGGTAACAAGGCATGATGGATCCATTTTCTCGTTCTGTTTATGCCAAATTCTGACTCTACCACCTGAATGTCTCAACAGACCGGCCTGTCTGGCACCAACAACCATGCCACGCTCAAAATTGCTTAAATCACTTTCTTTCCCATTCTGACATTCAGTTTGGAGTTCAGGAGATTGTCTTGACCAGGACCACACCCCTAAATGCATTGAAGCAACTGCCATGTGATTGGTTGATTAGATAATTTCAATAATGAGAAATTAAACAGGTGTTCCTAATAATCCTTTAGGTGAGTGTATATTATATTATAGCTGAGGATTTTATTCAGGCAAAACTCAAGTCAGTACTCCCTAAATTCTACCAACATGTGAAGTGTCTGACTAGGGTGAGATTATACTTGACCATGTGTACACTAAACAAGCATATAAAGCTATACCTCTTCCTCACCTGGGCCAATCAGACCACCTTTCTATACCTCTTACTCCAGCATATACCCCTCTCATGAGGAAGACTAGGCCGCATAAGGTGACCATTAAAAATTGGCCTGAGGATGCAATTTTTCCAGCTTCAGGACTGGTTTGCAGACACTGAGTGGGGCTTATTCCAACATCAGGACTTGAGTGTATACACTGAGACTGTTTTGTCCTACATTAAGTTCTGCGCTGATGTCACTGTGGACAAATGCATATGGATCTTCATCTTCCCTTACCAGAAGCTCTGACTGACTAGCCTTAAAGGCAATGATGGCGCTCCTGGACCACTAAGGTGGACATCGCCAGACCGACTGTGCAAGCTACGACACTCGTGCCCGGAGGGCAAGGGCGGAAGCATTGCGGTGCAAACCTATTAGTGCACGGTCTGACGGATGAGAACTCACAGGCCTTAAGGGGGAGACGAGGATCCCCCAATATGCAGCTCTAACCAGCCGTCAAACATACACAAACCAGAAGAAACTTACTAACTGAAGCTGAAATATCCGACATAATAACACAAACAAAACAATGGGCAATACACATACTGTACCAGAAAATGAACTGAGGAAACTGAAGGGTTTAAATACACACGGTGGTGAACAACTTAAGACTGCGGGAACACAGGAAACAGGTTAATGAGAGAAACAAACTAAAAGTCCATAAAAACGAAAGTAAAACACAGGCAGAACATGATGGTCTTGCTATCATGCATCCGAGAGTAAACATGTACCTAATAAAGTGACCACTGAGTGAATAATATATTCTACATTATTAATTTTGATTTTATAATAGTCTTTCTTAAAGTTAAATTTTGGCACATTTTAATGTTACTTACTTTTACAAAACTTCTGAGTCTGTGAGCCTACAAAATGTTTTACATTTGCCCCAGATCTGCTGAACCTGTGGTTTCATGATGTGTTCATCATCATAGTTCTGATTGCACAAGCATTAAATTGTTGCGGTCTCTAATGTGTTACTTCCTAATTCAACTATTGTGAGAGACTCGTCTCTTTTCTCACTCTCGCTGTAATGGAGTTGTTCATCTTCATAGTTTTTCAGCTTCTTATGGAGGTTCAGACTTACAGTAAGTGATATCTGTTGTTTAATCTCAATTAAATACTAAAAGTCAAAACAACTTTAGTTAAAAAAGTAAAATTTTCTAAAATATTTCAGCATGTGTGATCAGACGTTTGTGTTTCAGTAGACCAACAACATGAACCTACAAACTCTCTGCTTTAAGGGCATATTTGTTTTACATTAGCAATGTCATTAAATGTATTAAACTGTCTGTAATTACCCGATTAAATGAATATTTGGGTAACTAGTAATAAGTATATCTATATTAATTGGACATTTCCATGTAAATGAGTTATTTGGAAAATCCACTATAGTATTTATTAACCTGCGCACATGTTCGTATGAAAGTTATTCTGGATGTTACCAGAAATTAAGAAAAGTGCAGCTATTGAAAATATACATTTTAGGAAAAGTAGAAAAAAATTATAATTTTTCCCATACATTTTATAGTTTGGGTCCGTTGTAAAGATATTATTGAGTGTAAGGCCCAATTTTAGAGACAGGAGTTTGATTAAGCCATGAAGCTTTATTTAAATTAGGACACAGTTAGTAGCTTTTATAAACCTTAGAAAGAAAGAAAAAACATTACTAGTGTGCATCTTGAGACAAAACAATGGCACTAACATATTTTAAGTGCAAGTTGCAGTCAGTTAAGAGCTCAAACACACATTTTTGTCTAGTTTAAGACTAGGTTTAAGCCTTGTCTGTGAAACCAGGCATTCATTTGTTTAAATGTAAAACCAAAAAATGGCCATATAGTTGGAAAATGAATGATGCATGTAAATATAGTCACTAAGGAGATGTAATGATTGATTTGTCTGTTTTGGTTTGTTTCAGAAGCTCCAGCTTTAAATGTTTCTCCTAAGTATGTCATAAGAGAGTCCGACTCAGTGACGATGACCTGTGATCTGCCAGAAGGTCCACCAGTGTATCAGTGTTATTTCTACATAAGAGAAGAGAAGGGTATAAAACAGAATTGGAAGTGTGAACTGGAGCTCACTGGTGCTGAAGTGCTCAGATGGGCAGATGTAAAATCACCAGCATCAGTCGACATTTACTGCTTCTACACAATACAAGAGAACCAGATTGAGAAACCATCACCTCATTCTCCTCCTGCCACCGTGACGGTTCGAGGTGAGAGATTTCACTGCTGTTCTTCTGGGTTAGAAACTGTTACTGTAATGTGTTCAGTAACTATGGATTATTTCACTACACACAGATTCACTTGAGAAACCATCAGTGTTAGTGACTGATGTTACACCTATAGGACACTTCTAGACAAACACTATTAATAAAGACCCTTTCAATCTGCTGTACAATGCAACACAGAAGGGCCAAATACACTAAATATACGAAAGAGTTGAATATGGTTAATTATAATCCCTGAGGTGTGTCGAGACTCATTATGGTCGGGGTCAGAAACATGTTAAAGCTGATAGTTCAATTGCTGCTACATGTGTTTATGGAGTTATTTTCCCACCAAAATTATACATTACAAAAGGACAGGATTAAAGTTACCAGAGTTTTTCCAAAATTATAAGAGTCACCTGCTTCTTCACTGTATTTGAAGGACCTGCATCTTCAATAAGCAAACATTGGTTTAAAGCTTGCACTATAACACTGTTCATTTATCTCTGCAGTTTCAACAAGAGCCTCCACTGCACATACAAGTACAACAGCCTCCACCGTACATATGACTACAACAGTCTCCACTGAACATACAATTACAAAAGCCATTACAACCTGTGAGTAACAACATACAGTAAACATATGAAACAAATTTCAACTTCTATACAAACCAACTGGGAGAAAAAACCTTACATAGATTGAGCTTGAAACACAAATGTTATCAATCCAGACTCTTAGTATTACTGATAACCTGTGTAAAAAGCCATGCTTCCTCCTATCCAAACAATCCCCCTTCCTCTACTACTTCACCTGGATTTAATCAAGAGGAGGAGAGCAGCTTACAGCTCAGGACGTGTCATCCACCTTTACACTAGTCTCGGCTCTCCACAAGGGTGTGTATTGAGCCCTTTACTGTACTCCCTCAATACCTACAGTATGACTGCAGCAGAGCCCAACACAGTAATAGCATATTAAATTTGCAGACGACACAACAGTGATAAGACTTATCGAAGGTGGCGATGAAACAGCTTATAGAGACGAGGTCCAGAAAATAACATCATGGAGTTCAGTCAACAACCAGAAGGTGGATCTGTTTCCCCTTAACATCGATGAGGACTGTGTTGAGATGGTCCAACATTTTTAATTTCTTGGCACTTTTATCTCTACTGTACTGACCTCTCCTGGACTGCAAATACTACGGCGGTCATCCAGCATCAACTACACTTACTGAGACTTCTCAGGAAAAACAACACATGTGAAAAGCCGCTGGTGAATTTCTATCGCTCCTGCATTGAGAGTGTGCTGACCTACTGTATTATAGTGTGGTTTGCTAGTCGCTCTAAGGCAGATGAGAGGGGGCTTCAGAGAAACCACCAGTGTCAGAAATATGTAATGTATTTGTGCTTTGTTAATAAGAGATTATTAAATCTGTGTTAAATGTTAAATAAGAAGAATCATTTTCCTGACAGTGAGATCATCTAGAAACACTGATGTCTGTAATCATGATGCAGTAGAACACATTTTTAATTGTAATATGATTTGATCTGAGATCTTTTCTGTTGCAGCTGTTCCTCATAATGATCACATTCACTCTGAAGGTTGTTCATTCACTCACAACACAAAACAAAACTGATCATCTAAATATCTGTAAAAACTAAAACATTGACATTTCCTCCATTCATGATCATATGATGTGGCATGTTCATTTAAAATCTGATATGGATATAAACATGGATTGAAGCTTTATTCTTTCTTTTGACAGGCTCATGGCTTTTAGTAGTGCTGGTTTTCACTGGTATTGGTTTATTTCTGTCTGGACTCATGGGATTCATCTGTCTCTGCCCCTTTGACAGTAAGTTCACATATGCATAAGCTGAGCTCCATGATATAGAAACATATAATAAAGTGTGTGTCTGTGCAGGTTCTGATGACGCTCTCACTGAGGTGATCTACAGCTCCTGCCATGTGGAAACAACGTCTCTGTTATGCTCCTCAAAACATGGATGAACCGTTTTATTTCTTTACTTGTTGCAAATTTACAGACAACAATTACGTACAGAAAGAATGATGGTTCAGAATAGCCACTGAATTCATAAACTGATCAGCAGGCCAAGGCATCTTTGAGTTTTTTTCCCACATTTATTTTGGGAGAAAATCATATAATTTACATTGAATATCCATAAATCTCCATGCGACTCTTTACATTTTGTTTCTTAGTTTTTTGGAAGTAACTTTTATTAGTTAAGTACATCAGGGTTTTAAGTTACATCTTAAGTTGTTTAATGATTATTGCACTGTGACACTGTGATCGCCATACATTAGTATTTACATCAGCTTGTGGAAAAGCTACTTTTGATAAACTGTAATTCATGTGACTTTCTCTTTGCTGCTAGTGTTATATGGTGGATATCGGTGTATGTTAAAAGTACAAAATTAAAAATTACAAGATTTTAGTAGCAGTGCGACCAATTCAGGAGAAAAGAGCTGTTGGATTTACTGTTGTTGTTGTTGTTTTTACTGTACAGAATAAATGGCAACCACAACTTTGTAATAATGAAAGGATTTTTTTGCAGTGTTATTTTCTGTTAAACAAATGTCCAATGAGTAATTCAATGAGTAACTGAACCATTTGACTTTTTATAACGTTTTAGTCCAAAGATGAAGAAGATAGACAAAGTAAATCAAAATAACTTATTCACTGAAGCAAAACTATCCAATAAAACAATGTGCAATACACATACTGTACCTGAAAATGAACTGAGGAAACTGAAGGGTTTAAATACACACGGTGATGAACAATTTAAGGCTGCGGGTGCACAGGAAACAGGTTAATAAGAGAAACAAACTAAAAGTCCATAAAAACGAAAGTAAAACACAGGCAGAACGTGACGGTCTTGCTATCATGCATCAAAGAGTAAACATGTACCTAATAAAGTGACCACTGAGTGAATAATATATTCCGCATTATTAATATATTATGATAGTCTTTCTTAAAGTCTTAAATTATTTTCAACACATTTAACTTCTGAGTCTGTGAGCCTACAAAATGTTTTATGGGCTATTTGCCCCAGATCTGCTGAACGTGTGGTTTCATGATGTACGTTCATCTTCATAGTTCTGACTGCACAAGCATTAAATTGTTGCGGTCTCTAATGTGTTACTTCCTAATTCAACTATTGTGTGAGACTCGTCTCTTCTCTCACTCTCGCTGTAATGGAGTTGTTCATCTTCATAGTTTTTCAGCTTCTTATGGAGGTTCAGACTTACAGTAAGTGATCTCTGTTGTTTAATCTCAATTCAATACTATAAATAATGTCAAAACAATTTTAGTTAAGAAAGTAAAATTTTGTTTGTAAAATTAAGTGCAAGTTGCTTTCAGTTAAGAGCTCAAACATGCATTTTTGTCTAGGTTAAGACTAGGTTTAAGCCTTTTTTTAAATTTGTTTAAATGTTAAGCCAAAACATGCACCGTAGTTGGAAAATGAAGGATGCATGTAAATATGGTCAATAAAGAGATGTAATAATTGATTTGTCTGTTTTGTTCAGAATCTCCTGCTGTAAAAGTATCTCCAGAAGTCCTAACAGAGTCCAGCTCAGTGACGATAAGATGTGAGACGCCAGAAGGTCCACCAGTGTATCAGTGTTTCTACATAACAGAAGAGAAGGGTATAAAACAGAATTGGAAGTGTGAACTGGAGCTCACTGGTGATGAAGTGCTCAGATGGGCAGATGTAAAATCACCAGCATCAGTCGACATTTACTGCTTCTACACAATAAAAGAGAACGGGATTATTAAACCATCACCTCATTCTCCTGCGGCCACAGTGACGGTTCGAGGTGAGAGATTTCACTGCTGTTCTTCTGAGTTAGAAACCGTCACTGTATTGTGTTCAGTATTTATGGATTATTTCACTTCAAACAGATTCACTTGAGAAACCATTCAACACTTCTAGACAAATACTATTAATGAAGACCCTTTCAATCGGCTGTATAATGCAACACTGAAAGGACAAATACACTAAATATATGAAAGAGTTGAATATGGTTAATTATAATCCCTGAGGTGTGTCGAGACTCATTGTGGGTCGGGGTCAGACTATCAGACTGTATCTGATATAGGCGGGCCAGAGGCCGTATAGTGTCATCCAATTGTGTGCAGTGAGATTTTCAAATGCTACTTGGTGCCGCCCCTCGAGTTGGGCGATTCTCATTACTCAATGTCAGACGCTTAATCTTTCACATTTGGGTCTGGATTTCCAGGCTAACAAAACATCACAGAAATTATTAAAGAGCATATTGCAGGTAAAAAAAAAAATCTAAATTTATAGATAACCTTGTATGAAAATACCATATGAAAAGTTAATGCAGGATTTAAAATGTTTTAAAACAACATAAGGGCACTAATTTAGAAGATAAAGTGAGCGTTTCTTGGACTGCTAGTAAAAACGGCTTTTTTTTCAACATCGCGTCATTTGACGTCATATCAGGGAGCCGCAGCCCCGGCTCAGTAGAGAGCAGGCTGGTGTTCAGTGAGAGCGCTCGTCAGTCAGTGTGCTATCGTTAGTTTTTGCATTTTAATTTATCATCGTCATGGTAAATTATTGTGTTTGTGGAGATTGCAAAAACTCCAGCCTGTCAGGACTTCAAGATTGAGTCCACAAGTTTCCATTACAATAAAAGGGACGGTGCTATATAGCCTATCTTTCGTTCCTGGTGCGGGTTGAGCAGGTGAAGAGACGGGATTTCTCCTCTGCATCGGCTCGGGAAACGCGGTCGTGTGTAGCGTTCACTTCAGATCAAATGATTAGCATCCCGGCGATATGATGGAGTTCAACATGGGATGCCGAAGCAAGAATATTGATCGTGGTATAACGTTACTACCAATGGCATCAAATAGTGTTATATAGGTAACTAGTCATGTCATGCCCTAAATAAAACTTGTAATTGAAAAACAAAATTGGTTGTTTAAATACTCAAACCTTTAATGTTCTGTTTATGTTATAACCAAGGTGAAAAATATGTATTAAAAATTTACCCGAGTATAGCCTATGCTTTTAGTATAGAAATATACTCAAGTAAAGTTTTTATACATTTAATAGTATATAAATCTACCCTAAACATACTAATGTCTGCTGGCCTGTTATAGAATCTGTACAGTATTGTGAGCACAGTGTATCGTTAGCGAACGTGTATACTATAAGCACGTCTCTCACCAAGACACCTGTCCTGTTCTCCACTGGTTCTCCTCACATCACAGCTCAATTTTTCTCTGACCGTTCTGTCTGACATTATCCTGGCCTGTCCCTGATCTCTTTAGCATAGCAGGCTCATAACTTTATGGCTTGATCCGTCATACGAGTATTTCCTCAGCGTCCGAAATGTCATGCGATCCATTGTTTTCCTGTTGTGTGAATCGACCGCTCTCCCGCTCATTGCGTCACGCCCGCCACGCCCATTTTCAGACGCGGAAGTAAAATTTTCTCACAAAAACGACTGCAGAAGCTTCTGTGGCGTGTTTATATGTATATTTTAAAGAAAATCTAGTTCCTACATTGTTTTTCTATGCATTGACTCGTTGGGTCCTCTAACCTGCAATATGCCCTTTAAATCTATTGCTGCTATATATGTTTATGGAGTTGTTTTCCATCCAAAATTATATATTACAAAAGGACAGGATTAAAGTTACCAGAGTTTTTGAAACTTTATAAGAGTCACCTGCTTCTTCATTGTATTTGAAGGACCTGCATCAACAAGCAAACTTTGCTTTAAAGCTTGCCCTATAACGCTGGTCATTTATCTCTGCAGTTTCAACAACAGCCTCCACTGAACATACAAGTACAACAGCCTCCACTGCACATACGACTACAACAGTCTCCACTGAACATACAAGTACAACAGCCTCCACTGCACATATGACTACAACAGCCTCCACTGAACATACAAGTACAACAGCCATGACAACCTGTGAGTAACTGAGTTTGTAAATCAAAAAAGCATTATTACTCCACCATAAATGTATTTGGAAAAAACATTATTCCTTGTTTATGATTACTTGTTGAACATTTACTATACTGTACATGACAGCACATTTCACAATGTCTTTTCAACAGCATTAACTGTAAGGTCCACTTCTGACACTGCAAAATACAGTAAAGCTGGTAAGTACTGAAAACATAATTTCTGGTTTGATCAAATTTCAGAAACGATTGCTATAATTTTTTTTTTTATTTTATTAGTTGATCTCAAGACAAACCTGCCAACAAACACAACAAATAAAACCATGTGTAAGTTGAAACCATCTCTTTTTCCTCAATAGTTAAAGTAGAATATGGTGGATTCAAATGTCAGGTTCAAAAATATATGTGGAATTCATTTAAAGTTTATTAATATCTGCAAAGAGGAAGTGCTTGAAGGTAAGTGGGAAGTACAGAGAATTCAACAAACACAAGGTTCATGATTGTGCTTTTTCAACCTGGTTAATAATTGCTAATGAATTATGAGAATATTTTTTTCAAACATTCTATAATACTATACACACTGTGGCACTGTTTTTTACTGCAGTTTTCTTGGCAACCTCTACTCTACCTGGTAACAGAAATATGTCAGAACATCATACGTTTATAGATGCCAAATTGCCACGAAAATGTTAAAATTGTTTTGCTTCAAAATCATTTTTTTACACACACAGACGCACGCAGGCACACTATATTTTTTATCTAAACACTATATTTTTATTGACTGATAAAGCACTTTATTGGTTTTGTTTTGCACAGACACATGGCTTATAGTGCTCGTTTCCACTTGTGTCGGTGTCTTTTTGACTGGATTCGTCTGTCTATGTTGGTTTGCAAGTAAGTCAAGTGTATAATTCTACACACTCCATGCTGTTCAATATTTTCATGTGAGATCATTTATCATGTGAATTTTGACCAAAATGATGTGCAGGAGTTAAAAACTGAACATAATACAGTAGCTCATTGTTTTCCTAGGTAAAAAACGAAGAAAACAGTAAGTTGTATTTCATGCCTTCAAATTAAAAGTCTGTAGTCTATAGTTTTTGTAGTCTACAGGATCTGTATGTGCAAATGTTTATTATATTATCTGATATATGCATGCATAAAAAGATGCCATAAAAATCATTATTTGATTCTTAGCAAAAAAATAAGATTAATAAATTCAGATGAGCCCAGTCAAGGAATTGGTATGGTGAGTATCTTTGAGATTATTTTTTTTATATAATAACATAATGAGTAATAATGGCTGAAATGGATATGACCTTAATAATTATTTTTGCTTTTTAGGTCCAAAGTTGTTCTGGACCTGCAGAGACATATTCTCTAATCACTTCTGTACCAGCCAGATCTCAGCCAATCTCTGTAGGTGAGAGAACATCATTCTCAGTAAATGATCTCAGAAAACATGAAGCTTAGTAAGTAAGTAACACATGTAACCAAGAAAAATAAACTTGCTAAGTTAAAGACACGATATTGTGACCACAGCTTCTCAGAAACTGGTACAATTTCCTCTTTCAAGTCTTCAGCAGATCAGCATTATTGACCACATCTTCTCTTAAAGCAAATCTAAGTAAAACTTTTTACCTTAAAGTAATGTTTCAAAATCGTTTCAGTGGTTCATTAAGTCGAACAGGGTGAAAGGTTTTGTGTTGCTATATCTGCTATAACCACACTATGTAAGATTGCCAGATTGGGTCGCCTTTTTGTAGTCCTAATGAGACAAAACTACAAATTTGACTTGCTTTACGTCAAGCGTTACATTTAGTTTTTCTTTGTGTCTGATGTCGCATACTTTCATGAAATCATGCAACATACTCTACCTTGTCTGTGGACATCGTTCATTCCAAAGCCGGTGCTGATAAACAACGAGCGTGTGTACCTCAGTAGACTGTGGTAGGCTAAATTATTTATGACAGCGGTATTGGACAATTCCACTTCCAACCTGTAGGGCGACCGCAGAGGAAAAGTTACTTGGTGTTGCTTTAAAGGAACAGCTCAAACCAACAAGAAAACCATTTACTCACTTTCTTGCCGTTCGAAACACAAAATAAGCTATTTTGCTGAATGTTTGCACTGCCTATCCAATAAAAGAAGCCGTGATGAGGGCCCGCAAAAGCTTCTAAAATGTCAAGTTTCTATCTTTATGCAAAGCCATTTCACATTTGTCCTCTTGTTTTGGGTGGTTTTCTCTATTGACTTTGTTTGACCCTCTTCTTAATGCTGTTCTTCCAAAGACCTCGAACACCCCGAGTCCCATCAGAACAGCACACCAGATCCCACAGCGGCTTACTCTTCCATTACGACTGCGAATTCAATTTACTCAGGTAATAAAATGTTTCTTTCAATCACGAGGAATCAAATCTATCAATACTAGCAAACGTACTATGAAAACACACTGGTTTCACAACTCAAAGTTTCCTCAGCATTTTTGATGCTCACATAGAAGCATTGAGAAACTTTGCCAATCACAAAGACTTCAAACAGAAGAAGTGAGACAATATTAAATTCATCAAAACACTGTTGCACAATGAATCTAAGAAGAGATGATTTTGCTGTGTAAAATGCCAAATCTTAAAATACATTCAAGTTTTATGACAAAGAGCTTGTTCGTGGTGGTCAAAACATGTTATCTAAGAGTGAAATGACGCTTCTGCTTTTCAGAAGTTTCCGTCAATACTCAACAGAAAGAGGACAATACAGAGGAAAATGAGGTAATATGTGCAGCCAATCATACAACAAACCCACATAAACAAATGAGAAGTCCATCATGAACATATTACAAACATTTATTTTGTCTCTCTTGTCAATCTTTCTGTTGTCGTCCTTAAGATTGTTTACCACCTGTACTGCACGATCCCTGACAAACCAGTTCCCTCAAACGCCGGAGATCAAGTCTACAGTTTGGTGAAGATGCACTGACGAGTCTCAAGTCGTGTTTCATTATGTACATTCATTATAAATAAAGTCATTTAGTCCAAAAGGTCTGTTCAGAATAAACATGAAGTACTGTTGGCAATATATAGTGAATGAGGATGTGCAATGCTGTAGCCTTTAAAAATATCACATTCATCCAATCAGTGACCCTGACATCGTAAATAAGGAGGTTTACCCAATATACAGTGCAAAACAGCAGTTTATAAATACCCATTAATCGTTAACCCAGGTTAAAGTGTGAAACGTGAAGCAAAATTACCCAGGACTCAGTTTACCCAGGGTTAAGAATGACCCAGTCTTAACTATTTCAAGTATGAAAAGTTTTAAAGAGCAAAATGAATAGCTCCTCAAACCTTTTTCAATGAGAGTAAAACGTTTTTGCATTGATTTGTACCTGGTACCACGAAAACGAGCACTATTTTATAACAGAGATGTCAAGGTTATGCTCAGTTTTGGATTCATTTTCCTAGTGTTCAGTTCCTGTTTAGTTCTGCCTTTATCTTGTTAGTTTTCCTTTGTTCTCAGTTTCCCGCCACTAGTTTGTCACCATGGTTTTTCATTAATGAATCACCTGTTTGTATTCAGTTCATTATCTTGTATATTTAAGCCCAGTTTCTTCTGTTCGTGGTCAGGTGACATTTTGTGTTCACACTGTTATGTTATTCTTGGATTATTGCCTTTGATTTGTTTTATTGAAGATAATTAACCTATTTTACGCTATCTTCCTTGTCGTCATCGTTTGTGGAGCTACCCGTGACAGAGAACAGTTATAACACATGGATTCAAACCTTTAATGTTAATTTCCAAAATGTTGGTTAAATAAGATTAAATGTATAGCCTAATATTTTATACATAAATAATATAGTATTTAAAACTGTATTTATTTAAAGGACGTATCGTGTAAAGTGTAGTGTACTTTACACATTTTTTTTTACATTAACATTTGATTTTTTTTTTTTTTTGAGTAACAAGTACTTTCCAGGTAATTAATTACTTTTATAATGATGTAACTCAGTTACTATTTGTGAGAAAAAAATACTAATACTAATTACTTTTTATTTACTAATACCGACTATTAAAAGGGGATCTTTCTTCATTACAAAAAATATATATAATCTTTGTTATTTTATGACAAGGTTTTACATCAATGTTGTGATAAAGGACAGTGGCAAAAGCATTTTGCAACTACACTGACATCCATAATAAAACTTGCTATGTTAGCTTGTGTCACAACCCAGCTTCCCTCTTGTTTCTCTCCTGTGCATTGGAAAACAGTGAAGAACAGGAGGGCTTTTCTTAAAGAGAAACTAACAGGTCTGTGAGAGCCAGGATTCTAATTGCTCGGTAGGTGATCAAATACTTATGTCATGCAATAAAATGCAAATTAATTACTTAAAAATCATACAATGTGATTTTCTGGATGTTTGTTTTAGATTCCATCACTCACAGTTGAAGAGTACCTATGATAAAAATTACAGACTTCTACAAGTTTTGCAAGTTGGAAAACCTCCAATATCAGCAGTGTATCAAATACTTGTTCTCCCCACTGTATATAAAATAATAGCATTTTTTAATAATTAAAAATAAAATGAGTTTGTTTTGAGCAGTTGCCATTTTCACATCCTGCGCCACGTTGTTTAAATAGCAAATGCATTTGTGCCCATGTGCTGCTGGTCTGAAAACGAGTTGTGTGTTTTGGGCATTGTTGACGAGTTGCCATTTTGAGGCAACATTATAGACTGCACAATATTTTTATTATTTAAAGAGACTGGCTTTTAAATGGATTGGGAGATGAGACTGATCTGGTTTGTTTATTTCACATTATAGGGGAGACCGAGGACATTTTTTGAATTTGGCTCCGTTACTCAAGAGACGGTTTGGATTAGACAAACCAATTGTTCATACAATAATCTTACATCTGTCTGTTAATAGTCTAAACCATTTAAAGATAATTAGAGAATCTACATTTTTCACAATTTGCATTTGAATGTAAGGAGATAGTTGTTTCTAACACCGACTCCCGTATAATGGTAATCATTATGAACATCAGCTATGCTAATTATTTCCCATCTGCCTTTCTGCTGTTATCTCGGGACGCTTGTCCCGGGAAAAATGGTGTTCGTCAGGTCCAGTTTTGTATCCAGCCTCTCACGGGGATTTCGGATGCCCCAACGCCTGTGATGAGAAGACCAACGCCAGTAAAGAGACAACTCAACGCCTGCGATATGTTATTGCGCCGTTTTATACATAAACAATATTTATATTTAATATTTATATATAAACAATATGAATGTAAGCCAGAGGAGAACTGGCCCCCGACTGAGCCTGGGTTCTCCCAAGGTTTTTTCTCCATCCAATCTGATGGAGTTTTGGTTCCTTGCCACTGTCGCCTTGCTTTTGGCTTGCTTAGTCGGGGTTACTTAATATTTAATATTTAACAATATTATTGATCTGTGTTGTACTACTTTCATGTTATCACTGTGAAGCTGCTTTGAGACAATCTGTATTGTGAAAAGCGCTATATAAATAAATGTGACTTGACTTGACATTTCACTCATTTAAACCATATAAGTATGAGCTGAATCACATAAAAAGTGACAGTATAACAAAAACAAAGCTCATCACTCTAGCTTGTTTCTGATTGGAGATAAATTACATGTTGCAACCATCCCCTGTTGCAACTGTCCCCGGTCTCCCCTACGCCCAAAACACACCCATATTAAGGGAACAGAGACAACACTTTTAAACAGACTATTTTTCCTGTTTTAAACAATCAAAAGTGGATTCAGACACGCCCTGACATTTAGATCGTTAAAATAGGGCCCTCAGTCTTTATTCACTTTGTTCTCATGTTTTCTAAATAGACTTCATAAAAGTATAAAATAGAATATCATAGTTCTAATAGGGGCACATTGTAATGCAGAGTTATAACATGCCAACGGGGATTTAAACCCTGCTAGTGTTCTGCTAGTTAGCAAAGCATTAAAGTACCATATCAACTTTTAAATAACATATTGTAGATTAAAATAATATTTTTAAATATATAAAATAAACACAAATAAAATTGAGATAAAAAATTAACATAAGAAATTCACTTTTGCTATCTGTTCAGTAATATCTTCCAAAAATTTAAAAATATTGTCACAATTTTTCTCTATATAGTGTTGATATGGCAACTAAATACACTAAGTTTAGTCATGCTAGCAAGTGTGGAAGTATTTAAAACAAGTGTGTTACAACTAGCCCGTGTTAGGTTGTGCCCAGGTCGCCCCTACATTCATCTTCATAAAACTGACTGCATTAAATGGTTCACTGTGTTACTTCCTAATTCACCCATTGGTGTGAGACACATTTTGCCTCTTTTCTCACTCTCGCTGTAATGGAGTTGTTCATCTTCATTGCTTTTCAGCTTCATATGGAGGTTCAGACTTACAGTAACTGTTCTCTGCTGTTTAAAGCGTAATTCCAACGGTGGAGAAATGAGTATGTATTGAAAGTGGGTCATATATGTAGAAGAATAGTATCATAAATTTCTAATTTGGGTCCTTCTTGGCCGATAAAAGGCAAAAAATTAGTTTTTAGTTCTTGTGGATTGTAGACAACAATCCTCAGAGTGCATTGCAATGCTCAGCTCCACAGTCCACTCCCACTATACTCCGCCCATCAATGTAGACTAGAGTTGAGCTCCACTCTACTCTACCCTAAAATTTACCAGTGAAATCAGATAATGTGCGCTAATATAATATGACGTAAGAGCGTCAAGGTGGCGCCCGCGCCATCAGTCAATGGATTGGCGTGATTCTATATGGGTTTCAATCGTCACACACTTACTCTGACGCGTAATTTTACACGTGAAATAAAGCCAAACCTTGGAGCGTTTTGTCTTCGGCATCTTCAGTAATCCCCTCGCTATCAGACGTTCCGGGAGTCTCCCGCATATTGATAATGGCTCCCTGATGCCCGCAAATTAGTTAAAATCTCTCGGAATCTAGAGCGAGTGAACAAGAGCGCGTATGCGAGACAGAAACGCACGAGGGAGAGGGAGAGAGCGAGAGACTTTGTGTGTGCGCCTCATGACACAGAGACTCAGGCACAGAAATTTACGTTCTTATTCGGTCTGGTTATCAGTAGCGGTTTTAGACACGGGCGAACCGGGCAGTCACCCGGGGCAGCGGCACGAGGAGTTAAATAAATCCTCTGTGCTGCGAAGGTTTTCTATTTTTTATCATTTCGATTCAATTATTGGCAATGGCGCCCCTGCTTGCTGAGAAGGAGCCATTCACAGAAGCGATGTCAAGAGGGTCTCTAGATTAGTTCACGTATCGCGTCTTTTGCGCACTCTAGGTCGTTATTTCAAATAGGCGCACGCACGGAAAGCGCACTCATGCGCTTACGGGAAGCGCGCTCATAACGAGACTTCCTTAGATTTCCACGACGCATGCGCGAGAATTGCGATCTCCTTTCACTACTTCAGTTCAGTTCTCGCGCATGCGTCGTGGAAATCTAAGGAAGTCTCGTTTCTGGCCTACAAGGAAGAAAAGGAATAGTCGAATAAACTCGTTATTTTTGTTTGTTTTTTCGCACAAAAAGTATTCTCGTCGCTTGATAAACATATAGTTGAGCCACGGTAGTCACTTGGGATATTTAAACATTTTCTTCATTGACTTTCTGGGCCGTCAAGAGGCAGTCCCTTAGGAGCCAATGTGGTAGTTATACAGCTCTCAAATTTAATCAAAAATATCTTCATTTGTGTTCCGAAGACGAACGAAGGTCTTACGGGGTTGGTACAGCATGGGGGTGAGTAATTAGTGACTTAATTTTCATTTTTGGGTGAACTAACCCTTTAAGATTAATCTAGCAAAATAACTGGATTCTATTAACTGTCTTTCGAATGAACGGTATGTGATTTTATTGTTGGGTTCGTGTTGAATTTTTTGTTTTGTTTGTTGTTGGGGTTTTTTTTTTGGGGGGTGGGGGGCGCTCGCCATGGGTGTAATTCAAAGTAGAACCGCCACTGCTGGTTATTACCGTTTACCTCGGAACCAGTTCCCTATTGGCACCGCGTTTCGGTACCCAAGCCTATCCATAATGCATCTGTCTGTGTATTCAGTCACTTCATCCATAATTATCAAAAAGAAATCAAACGCACTGGCCCCCCTATGGCCGGGTTTGAAAGGGTGGGAACACGTGCTTGTTGTAGTCTTTACAGAAATCCCCCCTCTTACACTTCCTCCTACAATGACGTAAAATGACGATTTTTGCATCATTGTAGAAGGAAGTGAAAAAGGTAAATGAGAGAGTGTTGCACGACCATTCAATAGTATAACTGGATTTCTAACAATGGAAATCTTCATGCAAATGGGTGGAGTGTCCCTTTAATGTTGATCAAATACAGTGTGTTCAAAAATGTAATGATAAAGTTTAATCATCAAAAATATTTCAGAGAGGGGGAGCAAGAACTAGATGTCATTTGCAGTAAATTGCACTTGTCACATTGACGTGCTTTAGACAGTCACAGAAACATTGTGTGGTGTATGATAGCACCTCCAACAGTCATGTGGGACGTTTCTGATATTTATACGCTGCAATATTAATACCAGCAGTAGCCTGCTAATTAAAGTGATATTTCCAAACTAAACATTGTTGAATTCTCTTTCCTGATTCAGTGGCGACCTCTACTGGGGAAACTCTGAAAACAGCGACAGTTTCTACAGCTCCTGCCATAGACATATATCTATGAGCTTCTGCCAGGTGGAACATCTCTCTCATGCTCCTCAAACATGCATGAACCATTTCATTTCTTCACTAGTTGCACCTCTAAAGAGAAATATATATGTACAGTATAATGATCAATTAATATATCCCCCAAAATATGATAATTTGT